AAGAAAATATGTTCGATGTATTATATACTGAACACTGTTTTCTTCCAACGTCACTGTTAGAATCAAGAAATATAATATCTTAATATTTTATATATATATACACAATGTCAGTTATCAGAAGACAATGATTTTTAATGAAGTTACTTAAAAACCAAATGCTTCTAATGATAGAACAAAAAATACTTTAGATGATTTAATAGAATAAGTGACCAATCAAGAATGACAATACACGAGGAAATTATATAAGAACGAAATAATATACGACTTTTCAGAATGTTAAAAGTGATATTTAATGTTGACAAGCTATTCATAGTATATTTGAGATAACGCACCGATTTGGTAAGCCAATAATCATGTGCATGAACCGAGTTAGAAATTCTAAAAAGATAATCTGTTAAATATCATAGAAAAATATATCCGTATCCACCTGAAAAACTACGAAGTTTTCAAGTGTACACAATACTTGCAAGTACATTATTTCATGAATGAAAATGTCAAGGTAATTACTAATTCAAAGTCGGTCAAAGAAATCCAACTTGAAAAATGATTTGATTTATCACTACACAAATGAGTAGATGCTGAATTATCTTACTGTCATTACTTTCCAATTTTTAAATATTTACGTTTTACTTTGCACGGTCTAAATTGCATCCTCATATTTTGGACCGTCACCTATCCTCTCATTAAATAAAAGAAAACCGTTCGTTCAGTCGGCATTTGTTTGATTTAAAAAGAAAACTAAGCTTTCTCGTAAGCCCATATTGCATTAATCCAGCCCAACAAGAATAATGCTGATTAAGCAATTTAAGTTCATCTTTATTTGCATGTCTAGACATACGAAATTAATATCATGATTTAGCTTGCTACATCATTATACCAATCTAAATATTATGTACTTCTATTAAAATCAAAGTCTGGTGCAAGGCTATAATTCTGGAGTTTTTCATTATGATTTCTGTTCTCAGAACATTAGGTCAACAGTCTATGCTATCATAATTAATGGTTTCAATATACAAAAATATCACTTTTGGGAGGAGAACATTTCTGTCACTTATTTTATGACTATCAATTTTTCATTTCATCGCTTTTCAGTGTTCATTTTAAAATAAATGAATATTTAAGAGCTAAAAGAAGATTTAAATAGAAGTAAAGCAGAGACGGTGAAACGTTCTCGTTTCAACACACTTCCCCAGAAATACTGTCTACTACGATTGAGAAAAGAAATAATTTAAAGATAAACATTGCTGTAATGAGATGCTAATAACAAAAAGATCATCATATATATTTCGCTTAGAGACTTTTTGATTCGGAATAAAAGGTACGACTCATATATTCAAACGATGCACTTAACAAAATAGGAAAAGATCTTTCGACTGGATTTAACTAACATGAGTAAAACCTATTTTAAGCATGAATGTTAGACTGTGTGGAACCTAACATTGATTATTGACGATACAAAAATTTCAAAGTAAATAATGTCTGATTTTGAACATTTTTTTTCAAAACAGTTAATTCAAAAGCAAAAACTGTTAATCAAGCAATTTCTATTTGAAACTTGAAAAACAAGAAAACTAACAAATTGACTTTCCTGTGTTTTAGCTAAGCATGGAAGCATATATTTTTGACAATACTTACATGTGATATTATAGGAAAAGTTAAAAGTATATTCATTTTTGATGATCTTTATATCTTCATATAACCAGTCCAAGTTCGAAAACTCTTAGTGAAAAGAAACAAAATCTCTTATCGTTTCCTAATACTGCAAAATCGTATTCGTTTATATTTGATCAATAAATATGGGTGCAATTACATCTGAGATTTTGTTAACGGGTTGAATAACTGCTTCTACTTATTTTGATCCTTGTTTATAGGTTTCATGCCTTTGTTTTCTTTCATATTAATCTATATTTTCATACTAATTCAATTACCTATTAAAAATCAAAAATTCATCTTTCTTTGAATCACTTAATTACAGCATCTTGCTACATTGTCAAACCTTCACAGTAGAGTCGTAATGTCGTGATTTAGAAATTGTGCATGAAAAATTGAAAACATTTTCACCGCCAGTAATGAATAGAAATGTGTCTACCGCAGGAGAGCACAAAAGCTCATCTTAAAAAGTGGTTAGTGAAATTGATCAGTTAAGCATCAAAATCTTATTCAATCTTTCCTGTCATTTCAATTTCAATTACTGTCATAACGTTAAATGCAGACACGTACCAATACCTTTACACCAATATGAACCAGGTCGAAAATACATTTCGACAATTTTCAGACTATCATTGATTTTTGTCACCCTTCTGTTTTCCTTGATTTTTGTCAACCTTCTGTTTTCCTTGATTTTTGTCAACCTTCTGTTAAAATTCTTAAAAATTATGTTTGAACCGTGTTTTTAAGTTTGTGGGTCAAAACGACCATTTATTTTGTTGCCACCTGACAGTTAAATACATTAAAGAACAACAAGTTGACAGAAATTAGGCTCATTCATAGATTTTACTATATTTCGGATGTACTTGCCTAAATCCAGTATTGTTCCTTACATGAACTTTGTAATTTTACCTAAAAGCGATGAAAACAAATATTCTCTGCATATTCTCAGAGACCATTTCTAGAAATCTGTCATTATATCCAAATGAATACTAATTAATTCAAATTAAATATGAATTTTGCTAAAGCTATCTTTAAATATTTGTCCACGTTAAGTGTACAAATATTCTGAAACACGGTGAAATGAATTTGTTTTAAAGAGTCAATAAGAAACAGGTGTTGAGTTGAATCTTGTAAATTTTTTCTCTCACTAAGACAGCAGTTCATCTGCATACTCCATACTTACAAAGCCCATTCCCCTTCAGCATCAGTCTTGTATTCCAAAAGTGTGTTATATCTTTTATGACGTATATTACAAGCTTGTAAAATAAAGTTGCAACAAAACAAATTATGTTTTCAATCAACTGTATATTTAGAGAAAAGAAAAGTAGAAAGAAAATTACTGTGTTCTTTTTACTAGTACATAAATGTAATGACTATTAAAAAGTATGACCACAGTTTGGAGTTAATCTCTTAAGTGGAGAGTACTTGCCGGTTTTGAAAATAAATTGTTTCAAGCTAACATTTTTTTTTATCCGTTAGCTTTATTACTTTGTGAACTCCAACCGGACGCACAAAACTTGCTCCATTTTAAATAAATGACGAAATTCAAAGTTAAATATTAAATGTTAATGCCCTTTTTAATTTCAGTGACACTTTCTTAAAGTCAATAAAGATTTACGAAGGCATCAATTACGAATACAAAACTAAGGTGATGACCTTTCAAAATGTTGAAGTTTCAAATATATTTTTAATTAATGGTTACGTTTAGAAAAAAGGTTTCTAGAAAAAACATGAAATCAATTTTAACAAGAAGACATAAAATAGATGTGTGTAAATGTTAAGGTTTTGTTTCTTACGTAATATTTGTGCATATAAAAGTGTATTTATATATTTTATTGTTTAGTCATATATATATATATATATATATATATATATATATAGCTAGCTGCCTCTAAATATTTAAAATTTTAGGCGTTTTTAATGAACTCTAAAATGCTTAGTATTTAAAATTTGAATTTTGGTGTCGAAGCACATTATTCGCCACCTGTGTTACACATCTGGCGAATACTGTGCTTCAGTAGCTGTGACAACAATGTGTGTGTGAGAAGGAAATTTAAAGGGCAACCATGCATACCTTGTCAATCTACGAAATGAGCGTGTAGAAAAAATAATAATAAACAGGCTCTATCCAAATGTTATTCTCTTCCCTGTATCTGTTGCAGTTTACGTAAAAATAAATCGGAGGCAATACTTTTGGAGTATTCCTCGTATGTGCTATTGTGTCTCTGTATGCGTCTAATTAGATAAATGTGTGTGAATATGTGCATGAAAGAAGACCTATATATATTCACTCCCTCGCGCTATATATATATATATATATATATAGAGAGAGAGAGAGAGAGAGAGAGATAGATAGATAGATAGATAGATAGATAGATAGATAGATAGATATAATTTCTATATATATATTTTATATATGTGCGGTGCTTATTGGAAAGCGCTCAATATCAGTGCTATATTTAGTAGAATGAATATGAGTTTTCACGCTTATGCGATCCTCAGACAAACTGAAGCGTGAAACCCAGCGTTACAAACTCATATCCATTCTAATATATATATATATATATATATATATATATATATATATATATATATATATATATATATATATATATATATATATATATATATATATATATATATATATATATATATATATATATATATATATATATATTCTTTATCAAAATGTATTCATCCTATATCACCAATATGAGTTGATAAAATATAATTTCATTGATATAAAAAAAACTGATAAATAAATAAATAAAGACTTCAATAATTTAGAATTAAATTGTTCCCAGTTATCAAAGTTGCCGATCTTCTGAATTTTACAAGTACTTCTGGAACTAACTCCAAGATAAATGTAATGGCTTGGGCTAATTGAATTCACTTTTTTTTTCTACTGACTTCGTGAGGCAGAAGAAAAATGAAAATGTTGATTTTAAATAAGGTGACCATAGCTGATTTTAATAGTCAATATTGAATGACTGCAATCAGTTGTCGGTGGGATCCACTCGACAAACAGTGTAAATTTACTGTCACATAAATGAGAATCACTAAAAGAAAAATGCCATTATTCCAGGATATCAGTTTTCTTCTAGTAAAATTAATAATGACTTTATCTATAAACTATTTTTGTATTTCTTGTATAGGAAATTTATTTAGCTCAATTGAGAAATATAGAAATTCAAAGAAAAACAATTGGCACTCTGGTGCATAAAATCTCAACATGTGGTCTGATAGTAAAGGACATAACTCTCACTTCGTCCTTAAATAATGTAGAAGAAATTTATAGGAAATAAAACGGGAATTAAAATGAATTAAAAGAACGAAATTCAAAAACTTACCAAAGTGAAGACAGAACATAAAATACAAATATAAATCGCAGACATTTTCATTTTGATTCTTTAAACAATTCACATCTGGTTATCAAAATGTTGAGATGATTACAGCCATGGGAGAAACAAGTCTCAGAATTCAATAAAAGGAAACTTGCCCAATTCTTTTTGCAGAATTTTTTAAAAAATATTAATGTTTTGTATTTTGTACCTATCACTCACTCGCTATTTCGTTCTATTTATTCATTTACTTTGATGTATTTTTGTTTGTTTGTTTTTAGCTCCGTTTCTTTTAAATTTCACACTCCAAATTTTCCTTTTGTAATATTTTAAACATCACCAAAATGAAACTACGTTTCTTGATTTTTTTTCCGTTATTCTTGTAAATTTAATCTAAAGATAAAATTTCCAACTAAAAAGATAAAAAAAAATGATTGGTTAACCACGGGCAGAACTGGAAGTTCAGTTCCCGACAGAGTAGTATTTCCGAATTATTGGTAAAATTTGGTTGGGTCTAACAATGGACAAATTCAAAGAAAGTAGTCACACTTGTTTGCTTATATTGTTCTTGTAAAATAAATAAAGCGGGTTAGATTGTGTTGAAGTTCGTTGTAGGAAGTCTCCAACTAGCCTCGAAAGAGATTTGCCTTTATTTATACACAACTGAACGTAAGAGTCAAAGTGAAAAAGAAAATTTTACAAAAAACGATGAAGAAAGAAAGAAAAATAAGTACGAACTAAGTTTTGATTGTTGTTTTTATTACTGATTGCCTCCTACCGAAAATATTCTTCATTTTCTTTCCCTTCCTCCTTGTAATACCGCCCCCACGATTATACCTCTGCCTACTTTCATCTTACGTCTCCCTTGTCTTCTATTCCCCTCTCTTTTTGCCATTTTTCTCTTTCTCTTTCATACACACATAGGTGCTTTTATTTTTCTCACATTTACAAAAATGGGTTGGTATAGATAGAGATAGATGCATGAATACCAAAGAGAGAAGAAAAGAAATACACATGAAGCGTTTTCTGCGGAGAAAAAAACAACAAAACAACGCGTATTATCAGTTATAGTAGTGATACATGACAGACAGCTCGAAAAACGAAATCTATGCTACGTGACTGTAGAATTCGTTTTTTTTTTTGTTTTTTTGTTTTTTTGTTTTTCGTTTTTTTTTTTTGTTTTGTTTTTTGTTTTTTTTTAATCAAATAGAAACGGAAGTTCTTAAACACACTCTGTTCTCTAACTCGAATAAATCCACTGCCCATGCTTCAATTCCAACCAACAATAAAAAATTATTACTTTTTTTAAGAATCTGCTGCTTTTCTATGTTTTCGTTTGTGGAAATGTGTGAGTCAAAGCATGCACACATATTTGTTGGCATTTATTTACGTGTCATGCATTTATTTACAACTCATAACGATGCACAGGCTCTCGGACAGTTAAATTTAAAAAGTTGAGCTGCTGTCTTTTTTTTTTTTACGTTAATCAAGTTGACTGTTGAGTGTTGACAGACACAAACTTCACACATGCAAATAATCGAATATTTATTTTGAAAGCCGCATATGACTAACTGTAAAATCTTGAATTTATTGATCTCGATTTTATGTGGATTTGTGTAGTAGGGGTAGGAAATATTGACTAATTTTCAAGTAAACACTCAGTCAGTCTTTTCTCTCTCTATCTGTCCATTTCTATCTTCTGTTTATACACACGCGACTCGCGTATAAAGATTGTACAAAGAGTTTTAAACAGACCCGTGCCCCGTACATAGACTGATTTAAAGCACACGGGTGAGTGCACGCAGACAATAACCTGACGTCCACCGCCCATTAAATGACAAACAGCTAAAGACAACAAAGGGGGGAGCAAAAATGACGAAGATTAACTCCACCTACAAAAAAAAAACAAAAAAAAAACAAATGACATTTCTTACACTTACTTGTCTCACTCTTAGATAGATAGATAGATAGATAGATAGATAGATAGATAGATAGATAGATAGATTTGAAAAATAGAGTAATAAGCGCTGGTTTGGGCACAGCAGCTTCTTGTAATTACATAATTTGTATAATTGCTGACGTGAAGCCATACATGCGAATTATTATTATTATTATTATTATTATTATTATTATTGGATCTTCACACCCGAATGACTTACATTGAAGTTTAAGTGACAGAAAGTCTTCTTAGTATTCTAATTTTAGTTTCGTTTCTTCTTCTCATTTCCAGTTTTCGACTATTAATCTGGCTTTCTGACCTATATTCAGTTATGTTAATACATCAAAGTCCCAAAGAGTAAGTGTCAGCAAATCTTATCTAGCACTGTCCTCGTAGACACCACAAGTAATGTTGCAATCTAGACAGCTTTAACCATTCCTCGAATTTCTACCCCATCCAATCACAATTCCAGTGTTTTTGACATATTTCCAAATGTTTATACTATTATATGCACTGCTTTTCTATCAAAACTCCCGAGTAAGGTCCTTCATCAAGGTTTTTCTATCAAAACTTCCGAGCAAGGTCCTTCATCAAGGTTTTTCTATCAAAACTCCCGAGCAAGGTCCTTCATCAATGTTTTTCTATCAAAACTTCCGAGCAAGGTCCTTCATCAAGGTTTTTCTATCAAAAGTCCCGAGCAAGGTCCTTCATCAAGGTTTTTCTATCAAAACTCCCGAGCAAGGTCCTTTATGTACACTGCAATCTGCTGGCACAGACACGTCCACGATCTAACAAGATAGTTTCTCTCTTATTTATAGATTCAGTATTATTACTTTGGTGGGGTGGTAGGTTTTGGCGTCAAAATCTCAAAGTATTTCGTGATTTTGTTTTCTATAACTGTTTTTAATTTGTGTTGATGCCCTTTGTTTAATTGATTGAACCCAATGCGTTTGTACAGTTCCCGATATATGAATGTCTTCGCCTTGTCATGACGACTTTTGTGTCCAGTTGCTACATTCACTGATTATTATTACCACGGTCCTGCGCGTCACGTGCGCTGGTTGTTATTGTCATGAAGTCTGTCAGTTTGGCTAATTGTCACAGGTGTTCCTCCGTGAATTACTAATGTTGCTCTTTTCTGGTGTTCAAATTCCATTTTGATTTCATGCCGTAGTTTTTCACTTTGTTTTGAGTTCCTTCTGATTCTTTACAAATAATTTTATGACATCCGAGTACATTAACTTAGACCATCCAATTTGAGCCAGAAAATCGCGTCAGCAGGTCAGACTGAATTAAAAAGATAAAAGAGTTGGACAAATAGCTTGAACTTTGCATGACGAATGTAAACATTGTGGAATTATTACAGCACTTGAGACAGTATTAAAGAGGTTTACACAGCGATTGGAAGATTTACAAATCTGAAAAAGAGTCGATGCTACCCAAATAATAGCACGACTAAAATCAGAATACTACTGGAATAATCAAGAACAACTAAGAAAGAAAATAATAAATCCAATGCTATTCTATTTAATTTTGACAATTACTGTGGTTAATGTCTCTAAGACAGATAGGTGTGTGATGATTATAAAAAGTGAATCAATCTGAATTTTCTCATACCTTCATTAAGAAGAGCAAGTTGAAAATACATGAGCGACAATTAAACTAGTAACACGGAAGAACATTCAATAATATAGTTATTTTCTTAGCAAAAATACATTCCTCTATAGTCTAAACATATAATTTTATGGCATATATATATACACGTATAAATTTTTCCTTCTGTTTATTTCTCTCTCTCTCTCTCTCTCTCTCTCTCTCTTTCTCTCTCATATACGTATATATTTAATTTTAAAACTTAACTTTCGTATTTGAACCTTACGAATAACGCTAATGTAAATACGAATAGTAGTAAGCGTAGAAATAGAAAAAGAAATGTAATATCGCTCAACCCCCTCTTCTGTAGGTTATCTAAAATTAACATAGGATAAGTGTTCTTAAAACTTATAAACAAACATTTCAAAGATATCCACCCTCTAAGTGGTGCCTTCAATAGAAAAACGATTAAAATAAGTTATTCTTGTACAAATAATATGTATAAAATTATTGATTCACATAATAAAGTTGTTCTTAATAAATTCTATGGCATCAACAATTCACTTAGTATGGATATCCCATGTAATTGTAAAAATGGTGAACTCTGTCCTGTAGAAGGAAAATACAGAGCCTCTAATGTAATTTACCAGGCAACTATTTACCCTAAAGAGAACAAGAACAATCACAACATTTATATTGGAATTTCCACGGGGTAATAAAAGAAACGTCTGTAATCCCATCGGCACTCATTTTCCAACCCAAAATTAAAATTCCAAACTGCACTTTCCAAAATATTTTGGGAACTGAGGGAGAAAGAACTGAACTGGAAAATTATAGGGTTTACCTACACTCAGAGTAGTTTTAAAGATAGATGTAATCTATGCCTACAAGAAAAATTTAAATTATTAAATTTAGAAATCTAAAGATACTGTTAAACCAAAGGTATGAACTAATTTCTAAATGTCGTCACAGCAGTAGATTTAAACTTATCTAGACTCTTAACGAACTTGTATGAATTGTGATCCCGTAGAAATTACCTGTGAATTCCTACTTCTCTTCAGTCCTGGCCGAACTTCAGTGAACCGTTATCCTTTAACAAGTACATGAAGTGCTGTCTTTGACAATTACATCGTATATTCTGCTTTTTCTTTTATATATCGTGCTCCCATATTTCTCTTCTGTTACAATTAACAAAAATGTCTTATCTTTGACAATTACAGTTACCCCGCTTCTCCACCTTTCTTTATATATCGCGCTCCCATATTTCTCTTCTGTTACAATTTACAAAATATCTCTTCTCTATCACTAAATTACTATTAATTCTTGATGACTATCAATAATATCTTTGATCTTACCCTTATTGGCATTTTTCTTACCTTAAAGTATCTTCATTGAATTATCCTTAATTATCCTTTACACATAAGTATTATACTTTCCTTATAATATTATGTATTAATAATAATATACCTTAATATAACTTTTGTGTAAATTTGTTATTATGTAATAATACATAATTATATACTTATATAAGCTCTATTTCATATATTGGTTTAGATGGGTTTTTTTTATTTTTGTTATATTTATTCTCATCAATTAGTATGTCTATTTTTAAGTATTTATTCTTTTAATATTATGGGGCTTTTTATATTTAATATATGGTGCATATGTTAATATATAGTATCCATATGTAATACTTAAGTGATTTTTATTAATATATATTGTATTATGTTTGATGAAGTGACATTTAAATATTTATCTTATTTTAAATTTTAAGAGATCTCAATTTTTTTTGGCTTTACTTTTGGTTTTGTTTTTGGTTTTTGTTTTTGTTTTTGGTTTTTGTTTTGTGTCATTTTATTTCAGTTAAAGTTTTTTGTAATATTTTATATTTATTTAAATTTTTTGTTACTTTATTTAATTAATTCATTAATATATTGATATATTAGTTTTTTTTATATAGTATTATCTATCGATTCTATAGACTTCCTCTAATTCCATTATTCTAAAAGCCTTGCCATTCTTTTTTTTTTCTAATTTTAAGGTTTGTTATATTATATTATATATTATATATAAATATAATTTTTCCTGGGGGATGGGTATTAATTTAATATAAATTTAATTTGATATATTTTAATTTGGATCTTTTCACCCTAGATATTTATATTCCCCACTTTTTTATATTTCCTTTAATATTCTATTCATACATATTGGTTAATTTATTACTCTTTAATTCTGAATTATCTCTCTTTCATGTTTTGGGGTTTATCTCTTTTTATTTTATATAATATTTGTTTTTTTTTTCCATTAAATTCTGAAAGTTCCTTTGGTTATCTACTGTCTTATTGCTTTACTGGGTAAATTAAATAAGTCATTTTTTTTCTCTTTTCCTTCTTTTTCTCTTACTTTCAGGTCATCTCTTTTTCACTTTTCAATTATTGTAATTTTACAAGGTGAAATGATCATTTACGGCCCACCCAATAACCGTTAAGATAATACAGTAGACCTTACTACCCAGCACATTTAAATAGTAGAACCAAAACACGGCACGCATTTAAGCATAAAAGAGATTGTCGCCGCTTTGTGTTGACCTCAGTGGCCATTATTATCATATATAAAAGAGGTATATATATATATATATATATATATATATATATATATATATATATATATATATATATATATATATATATATATGTGTGTGTGTGTGTGTGTGTGTGTGTGTGTTTTTTCAACACACCTGCTGCACACCACCCGTTTTTCAATATCGTATTTTTCCTTTCGATTTTAATGTGACCTATATAAGTCGATATATAATTTATACGGGATTTTTACATCCTAATTAAGTTGTGCCAGTTGTGCTTCACATGCTCCTATTTTATTAGAAAGTACAAGAATTCCTTTGCTGTTTCAGTTGTGGTTTTAAAAAAGGCGTGTCTTTACTTAAATTCTAAATGATTTTCCTATTCCCTTTTTATTAAGCCCCACTCTGTTTATTGCATATTGAAAAAAAATTCCGACGCCCCCATCCCCAAATATAAACCCGTTACCTTGTACTATAAGTTATCTAAGGGTATCTGCAGTTGGGTTCATTCTCTAACGCCTTTTTGCATCAAGCCTAAATATATCTATCTGTTAATACATAGCTCGATAAAGTGTATCGAGGTAATCAAGTAAACTAAAGTATATGTACGTATTTCGTTAGTTGAACTGATACACAAAAGATACAACTTTAGAATTAAAATCACAAAAGGCGAATGGGAGCAGGAAATATATATATTTATACGAACTTAAATAACTTGTATTTACAATTCTTCATAATTAAGATTTTACAACAAGTTTTGTCTTTTGTCGGCTAAAAGTTAAATGAATATTGTAATGTTAGTGTCCAAGAGTCAACAAAATAATAATAGAGAGTGATAATCGTAATACGAGGCTGATAATGTCGCCAGCCAGTCTGGAGACAGACATGAAATCAGGTTTCAAAAAGAGTAGCTAAGTGCAAATAAATAAACACAGTTAAGGACCAATTTATGTCATCAATGGAGATGGTTATTAATTTTATCGTTTCACTCTTTTTATTAGAAACTTTCTGGTTGACTTTTGAAAACACAAACGAAATGTTTTTTAGCTAATGAAAAGCAGCAGGCGATATTTTAAAATCACTAAAGAAGAGGTATAACACACACACTATCTCTCTTTCTCTTTTTCTCTCTCACTCTCTCTCCTATAGAAAGTGAAAAAATCTAAAAAGGTACAAAATGACAAAAGAAAGTGAAAAATAACAGCAATGTCAAGAGAAAAGTCGTTTAAGCAATTTAATTTAAAAAATCAAGAAGCAACCAAAAGCTGATATCTCAAAGTACTGATAAAGCTTGAGAAATCCTAATGAATCCACCTCTTTATTTGAGGCGTCTGCAAAAATTAAATTTGATAACGTGCGTTTGCATGATGTATAGTTTTCCCTAGCCTTTGTCTATTTGGGCGTAAATTTGTAATTTTTTATATATCTATCCTATTGAACTTTTATAAAATCGGTTTCTGTGTCTAAATTTAGGTATCTTGTTTTTGGTCTTCTTTGCCGGAAGCACAATTTTATTTTGCCGTACGAATTTCTTATAAACACAAGATATTTGTTTAAACTACTACGCGACAATTGAAACGAGAAAGAAATCATGTGACAAAGGAGCAAAAAAGAAATGAAAATAAGCTAAACGGACACACATAAACAAGCTTTTTGAATGTGTGCATACGAGCTCATTCATCAGTTCAGATACAATCAGGAAGACATAAAAAAATACATAAATCTCAGAAACGCGCAGAATTCTGGTCGAATTTAGCATGTTAGTTTTTCTTTGTCAACAGTTTGTGGAAATCCTTATGTACTTAACTAGGCCTTAATTATAGACACTTAAAAATCAATATATATGGTAAGTAAATATATTTTACCATTGCTATCTTCGTAATTGTATGTATTAGAAACT